AGTTATCAAATCAGTGAAATAATACTGAATCTTTGATAAATTGTAGATCAAGATGAATGTGTTGCTACTTTAGAAGACTGATTACTGAATATTAAATCATTAATCAAATTTGTCATTATAAATGATGATCAACGTAAATGGCATTTTGGAATTGTTGTACGCCTTAGATTTTTTTCTACTTATTATATATTTTACGTTTTATTCTTTTCATAGCTGAGACATATATCTTTCATGTAAAATTTTATCCACTCTCTAATTGTATGTAAGGAACAGGATATCCTATTCTTGTCAGGTTGGTTTGATGTATACTTATATAAGTTAGGGATTCACAACATTCCAGTTAACTACTTCAGCCTAATATCTACATACTTATCATTAGTGATTGAAACCAATTTACAAAAGTCTTGAAAATTAAAAATCACTAAAGTTGGAAAAAAAATATGAAAAATTAGATTTCAATGCTTAATATCTGAATAACATTTTACTATCTACTAGACATGATTAATTTGATCTTTGTATAAAAGTTCTACAAATGAAATAAAATAACTGTTCAAAGACTTCTTTCTAGTGGTTGTTTTTTATTAATTTTATGATTCTGGGAGGTTTTAAACTGAAATAAAAAAACTAGTGTTTCTTTTTTATTTTCTTCAGCTAATGTCAGTATGGAATGAAGATTTATGAAACAAAATGAACAACTAATTACAATTTTCAGAAGGGGGTTTTGTGGAAATTTTAGTAATTTCATATAGTTGAGATTATGAGTCAATTGAAGCTAGACCACCATCGAGTCTGGCAAGTCGGGATCGTGGATACACACTGCTGAGGAGTCCCACAATAGAACGAAACGGACGTCCAGTGCTTCCCGATTTTCCATGGTGTTCTAGCTTCAATTGACCCATGATCTCAACTATATATAATCACAATTTATCTAAATAAATATTGAATTTATACTTATCGGTGAATGGGTTTTAAAACTTTAAATACTGATTATTTTATTTTAACGTCGAACGTTAAATGCTTTAGTATAATTCAGGATTAGCTCTTGAGTATGCAATTCTAAGGACTTGTAAAATAAAACTTAAATTCCATTCATCTCTACTTGATTCTTATTACTGTTTCCTTTTAGTATTAGTTCGCGATTAAAGTTACCTTCAAAATAATTCATTTTTTCTGTAACTACCATTTAATTCGAACCTCATTAATACATTATTATAGTCGACTTTACTATCAATTATTAGGAGTTATCATATTGATGATATGTTGTACCACGTCATCTTAGGCGATCGCTATTTGGCTGCACATTAAACTTTATAACTTAGAAATGAGCCAAATGATTTGATATACACACTAGTTTATGATAAATGAAAGTATTAAGTACAAATTTTTTCAGTATAAGGGGTATGAAGATTGTTGAACTTCATTGAAATCACCAGCTGATATAAGTCAGACTACCATTAAAAACCTGTGGTTACTGGTTGACCGTTTCGTTCTAGTACTGGACTGCTCAACAGTGCACAATTGCGACCTCGTATATAAAACTCGAACTATGAACCTCCGGCCTCACATGCAAACACTTAACTTTCAGACCATTAAGTCGATATTCAATGGTGTTAATTTCTAATCTTAATCAATCCACAATATTGCATGAACATTTTCTATTGTCTTCAGTGGCTAACTGCCTCATACCGATTATTATTATTATTATTATTATAGAGAATGAATTTTTCTGATGGTTTATTAAATAAAGGTGGATAGTGGCTAGCAGTGGAATCCAGGACGTGCGTTTCGTCCTGTTTGGGACTCGTTAACTGGATGTACCTGCATCTCATAGTTGACGTTCACTCTGGGACTCAAACCCAGTACCTTTCACTTCAAACGCCACTGCTAGCCACTATCTATCTTTGCTTATAATGCTTGTGAACTAAGGCTATATCGAGGCAATACGCACAGTATGCACACATGTCAATTAGAGACTGACCAGTTGCGATCCTAAACATCAATGAAAAGATTAAAACAAACAATACTAGGTTTAATAAATAGTTTGGTAGAATTTTTTTCAAGGTTCAGACAGTTGAGTGAAACAATTGAATCAAATAATTTTAACTTCCCAATATTTTTACATTGATAATTTATATCTCGTAGTTTCATTACAATACTGTAACGAAGTTCTTTTATTTTATTTCATCTCACCTAATTCAACCCAATATATTCAAATGGAAAGTAATCAATTCATATGTAATTGTAATACATTAAATAGGAATAATATATCTTTTTAAAATCTCATCGAATGAATTTAAAGTAAATCCTACGTTTCTCCTGGTAATCTGGTCCAAGATTTTTCAAGGAAATATATCTATGAAACTATTCAATCTAATTTAGACGAAAGTTCTTATGTACTTGTAATACATTTAAACTTCAATTTATCAGACGAAATTTCTTCATTTACATTAATTATCTAATACTAACAATATCAGAAATAGCGTTCATTTAATTTTTTTTTAATATTTTTTTTTATATTTTAAATTATTCATTAATATATCCAAAAAAAAGACATCAATTAAAGTCAAATATCTATGTCAACATTGAACATGTACCATAACAATATTATAATCAGATGAACATAGAAAAAAAAATTTTGATTAAGATTTTAAGGAAGAAAATAGAAAAATAAATAGGAATAAAAGAAAAATAGGGAGAGAGAGAGAGATGGTGTAGCGTAAATGATTAATTGACTATGTACAGATTTATCAGATTGAATTTCTTGATTTTTTTCTCTATAAAAAATTCATTGATTAGATGTTCCCTAGAGAAATTATTCATAAGATTGATGTTGTATAATTCTCATGAGTTAACTGTGATATTTATTCTTTTTTCTTGTTAAATGTATTAAAAAGTTATGCATGATATATGGTGATATTAAATCTAACTAACAATGAACAATACCTTATTTCATGCAATTAGTTCCCTTTATAAATTTAAATAAAGCCAGAACAAATATTGAGGGAGGTATTTTACATGCATGGATGACTTTGATAATTTGACGAAGAAAGCAGTTATCATTCAAGCACTGTTCCAAAAAATTTTAATCTTGTTGTTTTTCTCGATATCCTGCAACGGACTGTCAATATTTGTTCTAGCTTTATTTAAACAATACCTTACTTCACTTTAACTGATTAAATGATTTTTAGGTAGTGGTTTAAGCTTGCAATATTAGAAAATGAAATGTAACTAATAATTTATATAAATTGAATTTTATTTGAAGTTCATTATATGGTTATGGTATAACGAACTCTACTAATAAGACTGTTTGTAAATAGTTCGTAACGAAATGTGATGTCGAAGTTGTAACAATTATCAGACAGAGTGAAGAGTATCAGTATGTCGTAAGTACGGTTTTGGTATAACACATAGAGACCAGACGAGAAGACGGTGCAGACGTCAGAAAATGCCGAGAGATGCAAATGGAAGATTGAGGACTATGCAAGTGTATTATTTGAATACATTGTTACTTCTCATGATAAATATACATTTCTCCTGTCTGTTGTTGTGTTTCACAACAGTGATCTACAAGAATTAACAGAATTTATTGTTCTACATGTAATTTATTTTCTTGTTATTTATCACTCTGATTAACTCTTCTGCTCATTTATATAACAGGACGATCTTAGTAAAAAAACCATTTAAAACCAAGAAAAAGGACAATTATCTTTTCCCAGTACCGAACTTTATTCAAGCTCTAGAAATGTTATCTACTGAGCTACTGAGTTTGGAGAGCTACTAACTTATTCATCCTGTATGATTTTAGATAATTGTTAGTACATGTCTTAATTATCCTGCTGTTGATTTTCTTAACTGGATTTTGATTAGGATACGTTGGCCTATGTGTACCTTTGTGGTAAATACTACTAACTGGACTGACTGTAAGTAGCATGTGGCTGAACGTGGTGTCGAAGCTGTTACAGTTGTCAGACTGACAGAAGAGTTTCGGTATGTCAAAAGCACTACGTAGGCAGGAGACCAGAAAAAAAGACGGTTCGGATAGCAGAACACACTGTAAGACAAAAATGTACAATCGAAGGCTATGCATACATAATCTATAAATAATTTAACGTGCGGTTAGCTATTACTTTGTAAAGATGTATTAAAACAGTTTATTTTCAAAAAGTGGAGACTAAGAAGCACTGAACGGCTGTTTATTCTGGTTTCTGTACACCTGAAAATCGTCATGTGATTGAACAAAGAAAAAGGATTCGTTGTCACCTAGCTTACTAGTTTTATTGATCATTTATACTGAGAAGTTCAGCTTAAACGTATATACATTACCAACGTAAATTTATGGCTGTAGAGTAAATATTATGTTAATCATAATACCATCAAAAATATAAAGTTTTAAAATGTCAGTTCTTAGTAAAATAATTTAATCAGTAGTAAAATTGAGGTATATGAGATTATTTGTGTAGTGTTATTTATAAAAACTAATAGACATTGATTACGAAGAAAAAAGATCTTTTATAGTCCCACACCTGACTAGTAACTATTCTGAAATAATGTTATGCATATCGGTTATAACATGTAGAGATGATTTCAAATTTCGAGCATAAGTGTGCTTCATGAATCGATATGTAATTGATAACTTGCATTCAATTGACCTGTTTTGTATACTGTTTATCAAAGAAATCTTTAACATTGCTTTGATTATGATATTTAATTTGATATATCTTTACATCTACCAACGGAATTTTAATTTGTAAAGATAAACTAGATAAAATATTACACATAACGATTACTGAACTATAACTAAACATTGTTTATGAAAACATGAATACTTGTTGAATAAGTGAATAACTTACATGACTCAACCATCAAGTAGACAATGATCTACTGTTTAACATTCACAGTACTAAGTTCGACCCTAATTATACTGAATACAGGCATATTTATGTATATATAAGTAAACTTTTAAAAAATTAACTACAAACTTGAAAAAAAGCTTAACTTACCGAAAATTGCTAAACCATTTCACTAATTGAGCTGTATTATTTTTGTAAAATTTCACATCAGGGAAATACATTTTAATTAATGTTGAATTAGGATAACGTGTATAAAAAAACATCAATTTTGCTTTACGTAAATGTACCGGTGTTAAAGTTGTTGTCTAGAAATTGTTTAGATAAATAAATAAAAAAGAATTAATGAATGAATGGATAGATCTTTCTAAAAAGAAATTTGGCAAATAATATTTTTATAGAGTTGAGATCATGAGTCAATTGAAACTAGACCACCATGGAAAACCTAGAAGCACTGGACGTCCGTTCCGTCCTATTATGGAACTCGACAGCAATGGGCATCCATGATCCTGCCTCGCGAGATTCGAACCCAAGACCTACTAGTCTCGCATCAGAGCACTTAACCGATAGACCACTGAGCCCGCATCCAACGGTGTTAATGTCTAACTTCAACCAATCCACGAAATTGAACAGCTATTCACCAATGTCTTCAGTGAGTTGATATCTCCCAACAGACCTGGTATGGTTTTTCACGATGGTCTAGCTTCAATTGACTCATGACCTCAACTATATAAATAGGGTATAAATTTGATAAACTGGCTTCACTGTAAAATAAAATCTGGTACACATGTTCCATGGTTCCTTGTATTAAACCTAGAATGATTCATTTTGTTTGCAAACAAATAACTTTCAAGTCAAAGGGTTATAATTCAATATTTTCAGTATTTAGGAAATGAATTATTTTGATAGTTGAAAGCATGAGTCAATTGAAGGTAGACCACCAAGGAAAACCTGGAAGCACTGAAAAGCAGTTTCGTCCTATTGTGGGACTCCTCAGCAATGAATTGGGTATATTAGATTCTATTGATTTATAGTGGAGAATGATTTGATTTGAAAGGCATCAAATATATTTATAATTTTCTATATCACATTATTAACTGAACTGCATAGAAATAAGTAGTCTAATGAATCTACAGTGAAATAAATTGTAGAATTCACCTGCATTTTACATGTCATTGATTTACTTAACATTCAGACAATAAGTAAAAAATAACCATGAATAAAATTATTTTCTTAATTTGCTTAGTGGGATACATTTCTAACATTTGTCAAATTAACTAAACTATACTAAATTCTTTAAAATTTATTCTTATAAAGAAACTAATCAACATCATTGATGTCTTTGAAGTAATTTGCAAATTCCTTTCTACTTTCAGAGAACATTCGGTTTATGACTAAAACTCTTTTCTTAATAACAATAATAATAATAATGTCAGTAGTACTATTCATAATTGGTACCGTTTAATGGTTGTAAAAAATATTCTTTGTTATAATCTGACATATGCAAACGAGTATTTTTTTATTTATTCTAAAATGAAACAAGAAAGAATAATCTCTGTATATATAAAGAGATAGGGGAAATTCTTTCTTCTTTTCAAACCTTGTACTATCTTATGTTGTATGTATTTTTACAACAACGAAAATTCATAACATACAAACATAAATATACGTAAACTTATATTCATATATGACTCAAAAGGTCCGCACAATGACAGGCACCCACACATAAATATATAAACATACAAACGCAACAAACAAAATATGAGAATGGATAATAATAATAATAAATTTTGTCCTAAAAAGAAAAAAAAGCAAATGAAGATTTCCCCAAAAAAATGTGCCAACTACTACCAAAATGGAAAGTCATTCAGCTTTCTTTGCACATTTAAATGAAAGATTCATCTACCTCCTCTTTTTTTAACAAAAAAGAAAGAAAGAAGAAATGGAAATACCTCTGCTTCATTTACATTGATAACTTAGTAGGAAATGTATCTTAGACAAAGTTGTTTAACAGGAAAACAAGTTATAGCTTATATAATATGTATATATTTATATATGTGATCGAATGATGTTGTGGAGAAAAAGAAACGGAAATGTTGAAAAATGAAAGAAATAACCTTTCTCACCTCTGTTATTATTTATTATTAATTTTTTATCTTTATTCTCTACTCGTCCTCTTTACATATACAGACTTACACACATACACTAATGTATTTGCATATTAACATACTCACACATCAAAAGATGGGTGCCTGTTACGAACAGCAGGTAGGCAATATAAAAGCATATTTATGTATGCGTATTTTTGTATGCATTAGTTTGATTATATGTATTTGTTAGTATTGTAAAGTATAGGCTATATTGTTATAAACACACTGGTAGTGGTTAGAACTGTGATAGCAATGTTGATGATGATGATGATGCTGTAGAAGTCAAAAGTGATTCTGTAGGTTTGTTTTCATTTCCCGTTCATATTTTTCCTCTATTCAATAAATTAAAGACAAATATGAATGAATTCTAATAACTTTAGTGGAAGGAGAAGAAGAAGAAGAAGACGGAGTACAAATGAAAGAAACAAGATATTCCATCGAATAAGCATTATTATCGTTCTTATTATTATGACAATTATTAAAATAAAAAAAACAATTATTGCAATAATGAACACTAGTTCCTTTCATTATTCCATTTTTTTTCTTCTCTCTTATATTCGTAACTATTCAATAAATATACTGGTAAAATACCAAAAATTTATAGAATATAATTTACAGAGGAGAAAAAATAAAACGTAGCGAAAGAAATTTTATTTACTCCGGAAATGTATGCCAACTTGGAGAAAAAAGGAGATGAAAATTAAGATAAAAGAAGAAGGATATGGAGAAAAAAAATGTTAGAAATAATTCGATGACGAATTCGAAGAATAAAATATGATTTTTGTTTTTTTGTAGATTTGTATAATCTTAATGTGTTTTCTTCCTCTTCAATTTGCTTTTTTTTGGTTCTTTTTAACTCTTTCTCTGAATGATTCGTTTCGTTGAAATATTCTTTCTTTCCTGCTATTATACTCAAGTATTATTACCAATTATTCTAGTTATTCTATCTTCAGACTTTAGATAAATAGTATGAAAAATGAGAATAATGCCGGGAACAAGAAAACAAAATGAATAATCTTTTGGGAAAAAAATAGTTAAGAACGAAGTAAGAGATATCAGTCGGAATCTTAACTGAAGATTGAAATCGGGATTCAGGTATAATTCACTTGATGAGTCTTGAAAAGAATGGAACTATACATTTCACTATTGACCTGAATGCTTCCACAAAATATATTATTTGAAAATCTTCCCTCAGTTGTCCTTTATATGCTTAATGATTCCTTTAATTCTGTCGTTATTACAACTACTTTCTTTTTCCAGTTCTGTTCTCTTCAATTAAGTCTTCTTAGTCTTCTACTGGCATTCATTCCACTTTCGGTTGGTGCTACACACTACTTATATCCGTCAACTTAAGTAGCACACACCACAATAGAAGTTTGTCAGAACAAATTGCTCTATCACGAAATTTATTGAGACAGTCAATATATTGTTTTGAATTTATCTTACAGTAATAGTAATGATGAAAGTTATGACTGAAAATATTTGTGAAATAACTCAGTAGTATTTAAGAAGGAGTGTTTCAGGTGCATGGAGGACAGTTGACAGATACATTTCCAGTAAGGACTGGAGTCAGACAAGGCTATCTACTCTCCCTCTTCCTCTTTCTTCTGGTGATCGACTGGATTATGAAGATCTCGACATCTGAGGGAAAGCACAGAATGCAATGGACAGCTCAAAATCAATTAGAAGATTTGGACTTCGCAGACGACCTAGCCCTTCTATCCCAAATACACCAACAAATGCAGGTCAAGACAACAAATGTGGCAGCAGTCTCTTCATCAATAGGCCTCAACATACACAAAAGAAACAGCAAGATTCTCAAATACAACACGGAGAACACCAATTCAATCACAACTGTGGGATAAACTCTTGAAGCTTCCTGCTGAAGAGGAAATTGGGAAAAGACGTTGGAAGTGGATCGGACATACATTAAGGAAATCACCTAACTGCATCACCAGGCAATCCCTAACTTGTAATGGTGAAGGGAAGCGGGAAAGAGGAAAGCCAAAGAACACATTACGTTGGGAAACAGAAGCAGATATGAAAAGGATGAATAACAACTGGAAAGGATAGCCCAGGAAAGGGTTGGATGGAAAATACTGGTGTGCGGCCTATGCTCCTCCACGAGGTGTAAAAGGCGTAAGTATGTAAGAACTTCCTTCATCATACTTTCTTAAAGATAAACGTTATCCAATCAGCCATACTACACTAAGAGTTAACGTGGTAGCAATATTTCAAGCAGTATATTCTTTAATTGTAATAGTGGCGGTGCATGATATGGTTAGTATTTATATCACCATATAAACTTTAAAAGAAGTCTCAGTTGTTGTGGTCAGATTCAGTAGATTACTAAACTCTAAATAAAAACCGTTTCCAAAGATCCTTGAAGTTATAAAATAAATATGGGAACAAAAACTAATAAATGAGTAAACTTTCTCATTATATAAAAACAACAGATTTACCATTCGTAGTTCATGTGAATAATTAATCAGTTGATTTTGATAAGATTCTGATATTGTCATCCCACTGGTTGACTCACCGCTAAAATTGTCGTTCAATAATAGTGATTTGTCAAGCTTTATATTGCGTAAATTTTCATTTGCATTGAATTTATCGTATAATTTGTTTATGTAACTCATGTGATTATGATGTCGTTTACTATTTAAATTGGGGAGATTTTGTTGTAGACGCTGATGTTTATTTTGTAAACTAGATATAGTTGTTATATTGTTATAATTATTGTGGTCAATACTGTTATTGGCAGCAGTAGTAATGGCAGTATTATAATCGATACTTCCTATGACTGATGCTAACGATTGTGATGGCGAAAATATAGATGATTTTAGAGATTGTGAGTATGGACTGAGAGATTTGCAAGGAAGGGAAGATGATAAAGAAAGATTATGTGGATGAGAATAGCTAAGATCATTTTTTGCTCCAAAACTATGTGAAAGAGACTGTTGTTGTCTTTCATGTCCATCACTCTGTATACTTGTATAATCGTAAAAATTACCGGTGGAAAATTTATTTGTATTGTTGGTATTATTATTACTGATATGATTGAAATTATTGTTAATTGTATCCTCTGTAGGATTGAAAAACATCGGAGGAATAGGTGGTAACGAGTTAGGCAGGCGTGAATTTAACATACAAATTTGATTAAATCTTGACAACAATTTACGTTGATTAATGTCTGAACAAGCTGATGAACAAAGAGAAGTAACAGGCACAGAAGTAGTAGAAGATGAAGTAGGGAATGTAGAAGAGATGGATAATGATGCTGAAGTGGTCACTTCCAATGACGTATTTATATCTTTGAAAACAGATGGAGAGTAAGTGGGGGGCGCGGAAGAGGAAACAGTATTCATAACTGCAGGTAGTGTACCGATGTTATTAAGCAAATTTGATTTTGCAGATAATGGATAATTTTTCAGTGTTTTCGCAAACATCTTTTCAAATGATTTATATTCCTGAAGTATATTCAAACAATGTAACTTCTCATCCGCTCCGTTACGCTGATAATCAATATTCTTGTCTAATTCTAAAATGTCTACATTTTCATGACAGTGTCCCTTAGGATTTTCTGAAGTATTATCAGTCAACTCTTTCGAATAGCCTGAAAGACGCAATGAAATTGGTGATGGACTACTATTATTACTACCGCTACTATGAATCTGATTTTCTGATCGATACTTAGCGGAATAGAAATCATCTAATTTTACATTACTCGTGTTGTTGATATTGCTACAAGTAGTAGTACAGGTAGAAACAACAGTATCGCAATATTTGGCCGGGTTTATACCTGGTAAAAGACTTTGGCTTGTAATTAAGGATTCTTTATCGTTAGTTAGCAATTGGTTCCCACTCAATCCAAAAGACGTCGAAGTTGATGTAACCAAATTTAATGCCTGTCCCAAGTCATTACTTTCTGAGGTTGATTGGAGAAATGACTGTTGTTGTGATATTGGTTGATTATGATGGTGTCGATTGTTTTGGTGCATGACAGAATTCGTCATCATAAGATTGGAATATGCATTATTTGGACAACGTGAAACACGTGAATGAGTTAAACGTGTGTCAGTAACTTTAGTGCGCCTTCTGCGACTTATAGTTGGTCCATGAAATGAGTTACTCTCATTTGTTATTGGTGCCGTTGTTACGTTAGTACTAGTTGTCAAATTTGATGAACAGCTGTTATAAATGGTACTATTACAATTTATAACTGAACCGGGTTTATTTACTTTTCTATCATGTCTTACTATTAAAGGTATAGCTTCCACCTGTTCATCTGATGACGTTGCATGTGTTGACAAAGAGGTTGCATCGTTAAACATCATTATATTATTTTGTTTATTTTCGTCGTTAAGGGGAAATTTTGATTTCAGACAGGAATCCAATGTTGATTCCGGGTTTACTTTATTCATTTGCTCTATAATATTCATAGTATTATTAACTAGTGAACTAGATTGAAGAAGTGTATTTTGATCAGAATATTTTGATGCATAAGGAGAATTAAGAAGTTTCCACGGCCAGTGATAATATGGATTTGATAGTAATCCATAAGCATCTTGCACATCAGTTAGTGTTTTAGGTGACCAACCGTATGGAATTGGAAATCCCAAGACATTAGCTAAAGCAGCAGCGGCTGCTGCTGCTGCTGTTACAGGATTACATGATGGAGATGTCGAAGTGGTAGTATTAGTCAACATTGATGAAGTAACAATTTCAGATGAGTTAATATCAACTGATTGATTGAAATTAACACAGTCAATTGACTGGGTGGACGATGGAGGTGAATTATTCTGTAAATGTAAATGTAAATACAGACGTACTGAATAAAATAACGAATTTAATTCTAATCAAAGAAATTTCATACAATTTAATGTTTAGTTTTGAGACCAGTTATTTTAGATTATAAATACATTGACTGACAGTTCTTACTATGGAACTAGAGAGCATTAAATATACATATTTTTTTAGAGCTGGGTTTTTTGAATAGTTTTGCAATCGTCAGAATTTTCGAAATTAAAATGATTTACTCACAGTTTCAATACAGATAAGGTTATCATTACGGACACAGTATAATTCTAAATTTAAGTAGTCTTTCTAACGATATGGAACATCCATTGCTCATAACTTATTTTTCTCCATAGTTCATGATTGAAGAAGGAACTTCTATAGACGCTTTCGAAGATAATAATGACTGATTTTTAAGGTCAATGATTTTAAATACTTTACGAGTTAGAATAAAACTATACCCATAACGTAATAAATAATGAGAAGGCAAAAGCTCTGAGGAGTAGTTTGTTTGCCTTCTTATTACCGAAGATTAATAATCTAGAATAACATATTTTGCTGTTTTATTTCATCGGGTATTTTTTATACAGTGTCAGTTTATGACAAAGCTTCGAATGGTTACCGATCTGAAATAACGATCATAAATAGAAAAATTTATTGATAGGAAGAAGTGAATTTCTGAAAGTTAATAAATAAAAAATTTATTAACAAGTTAAATACAATGTGTTATCTCATAGTCCCAAAGATGAAAACCTTTTTTTAAATTCATGAGTGACTCACTCACTGGACAGTTATGAGCGGAATACTCGCCAGTCATGAAGCTCAATCTACTTCAGATTATAATATCTTACATAGTTATATGAATGAATATTCGTTTATACAATCTATGACTATTTATCGAAACACAAACTAGTTTAATTATTTTCACAAACCATATTATAATTGATTGAATCTTAGGGATAACACTCAGAGATTCTGCTTCAGGTATGTGAAAAAATGTATTTAATTATACTCCTATACCTTATATATATATATTCTGTGTACTCTTTGCAGAGAGAAATTGTTTCCATACAATACCTGGTAAAAAACAATTATTTGGAAATGATTAATATTTGTAATTATTGCTGAAGTTCATTTTATACTGTGTCATTGATTCTCTCCTTTTTAGCTTAGTATAATGAACTGCATAATCAAGTTCAATAGAGAATGTTTAAGACTAACAAGCTTTAAATGGTTTCAGATCCTAGTGTGGACTAATGTACTTCTAACAAAAAGACATTTAAATAAATGGGTTTAATATATTTTTCATCACTTCGAACATCGACTGGAGCTTAATTGGAAAATAGGAAATAATCCATAGGTGCTTAATCCTAACCTGGAACTCAACAACAATGTCAACCTATAACTCTACACAGAAATGAACCAAGGTTTTAAAGTTCTAGAGATAAAAGCATTAGATTTAGGTCGCTGATTCAAGGTTCAGCAATCCACGCCTGCAATTTCAGTGACTCATTAAACTCCATGATCATCACTAATTGTTATGAATAACAAACATTTCGCTCCCAAAATGAGTAAACACCAATGCCTTGGATTTCCACTAATATTTCTAAAATTTAAAATTAAAAAAATATTCACTAACTATCAGAGAGTTTTGAGGCTTTTGCATGATTCCAAAGAATACAGAACTAGAATAAAACAACTACTTAGTGGTTCATGATTTTCATTGGTTCATTTGCTAAAATCAATCTAAAAAGTTGTTGATTTTGAAATTTCTGAAATCATCTAGATATTAAAAATTGAACTATATTGATACAAAGGATACTTTATGAATTTGAATTTTTCATAGACTGATTCTAACAATTCTTTCACATTATTTGTCTATTTATTTACAATTACATGATAATCAGAAGGGGGTTTTGTGGAGATTTTAATAATCTTATATATATATGGTTGAAATCATGAGTCAGTTGAAGCTAGACCACCATGGAAAACCTGAAAGCACTGGACGGCCGTTTTTATCTTATTCATGAGGCAGGATCGTGGATGCGCACTGATGAGGAGTCCCACAATAAAACGAAACGTCCGTCAAGTGCTTCCAGCATTTCCATGGTAGTCTAGCTTCAATTGACTCATTACTTCAACTATATAAATTGCATAATTAACTAAAGAATAAATAAACTTACATCAATCATAGATAAATCATTCGATGAAATTCTTGAATATATTTGATTATTCTCATTTATATTAGAAAAATATGATGAAAATTTTGAAAAATTTTCTTTTATACCATATACATTAGGTATAATTTGTTCATTCAAATGAGTTGTATCCATACAATTATTTGAATCATTCTGATTAACATTACAAGTTGAATCATCTATATTTATATGATGATCTATTGAATTCAATGTAAGATTATTATTATTATTAGGTAATTTTAACAATGTTTTATAATCCGATTGAATAGAATCATTTGAATAAGTTATTATATTTGATAAATTATTGGAATCCATTTTTGATTTTTCTATATTTTCATTTATTAATAAATTTATATTATTATTATTATTTATTTGTTTTATTAAATTATTATTATTATTAATATTATTTGTATTGATTGATAATATTGATAAATTATTTAAATATTGTTTAAAATGATTTGTTAAATATTCAATTTTTTCACATTTTAAATGATCAATAAATTGATTATTTTGTTTTAATTCATGATTTAAATTAGATTTAATCAATAATTCAGAATTTGATTGAATTAAATTTTGACATGTTAATACTTTATTATTATTATTATCATTTATATCAGTAGTATATTTAAATAAATTTGTTGTTTCATTCAATGTTTCATTATTTGTAATTTGTAATTTTTCATTATTTTTATTATTTTTATTAATTTCATATTGATAATTTAATGAATCATTATTACTATTATTTAAATTAATATTAATTTCTTTAAAATTAGCTAACATTTCTTTTTTAATTGTTTCAATACTTGTTCTTAATGATTGATCAACTAATTCAGTGATATGTGGTTCAAGTTTTAATAATGTTTGTTCAATAATTTTTTCATCTGTATTATCATTATCATTAGTAGTAGTAGTATCAGTAGTAGTAGTAGTAGTAGTGTTGCTGTCATCAATATCATCGTTACAATTGTTTCTATTCATTTCATTATCTAAACTATGACGTAATTTTGTTGATTTAATTGTTAAACTTTGACGAAATGCTTCTATAGCATATTGACTTAATTCATTAATTAATTTATTACATTCTGAATTCATATTAATAATATGAGAGAAACTTTTATTGAATGATTTATCTGTTTGATTAAGTTCATGATCATTATCCGCATGTATCATATGAATATCTGAATTCCTTTCCACAGCATCTTTATTCTCTATATTCTCTTCTGTATGTTCTTTCCCCTTCACTTCTTCTAATTCTTCTATTTTTAAATGCTCCACATCATTTTTTGGTGAAGAATTAGATAATTTTCTTATTTTCGGTTGATAGCTCATACTGTCATCTAATTTACAATCTATGAATCTGATCAATTCATTTTCGTTTGATGTGTCATTAACTTCCATCAAATCGTCCTTATTATTAGTTATAACTGGAGTGAAGTGAAAATTTTGCTGTGGCAATATTTGTTTACGTCGTTTACGACGACTTTCAAGTTCCTCTTTGTCAGTGTTATCTGTAATGTCTTCTTGAATTTGAATGTAATCAGATGTTGATGTACAAGAGGTTGAACTATTGAATGAATCTGTAAAATGATCAGTTTCTTGTGACTGATAATCAGTTACATCAAAACTTTTGTTCTTCTTATTGTTATTATTAGTGTTACTGTATTGATGATAATAATTTAAATTTTCCTTATCATTAATGATGGTATTAAATGAATTAGATAATAGTTTTATTTGAGAGAAATCTTGTTTTAATTTATCATTAGAACATTTTATATCTGATTTTGGTGAATTTCTTGATTCATTTATAGTTAAATCCAATGATTGACCTGTTGATTGTGATGATAAATTATGATGCTTTTCAATGGATTTCGAATCAGAACATGTTATGCTTAAATATTTTGTTATTTGATGATCAGTTGATGGTTGATCATTTTGATTTAAACCTGGTAATAAATAATGCCAAGAAACAAAAGATACCATTAAAAAAATTTTGATAATGATTAGATTTAATACAAACAATAAGAAATATTGTAAGCAAAGATGGATAGTAGCTAGCAGTGGAATCCAGGATGCGCATTTAGTCCTATTTGGGACTCATCAGCTGGATGTACCTGCATCTCAGAGTTGATGTTCATTCTGAGGCTCGAACTCAGTACCTTTCGCTTCAAACGCCATCGTCAAATAGGACGAAACGTACGTCCTGTATTCCATTGGTAACCACTATTTCTCCATCCTGAAATATCTGATAGTAGATTTATTGTCCTATTAAAAAAAAACTTTTCAGGAGACGGGGGGAAATAAATATTAGTTTTAAAACGTCAGATCATGGCTACGCTATATTATAAATCTTGAAAGTGGTTGAGCACTAATGTTCAAAGCATTTATTCGTATTCAGTTATCATTGGACGCATTTTGAGACAAACCCTGTTTGTATAAACGTTTATTTTTTTCATTTACTTAAAATTCAGTCAATTAAACCTGAATAAAACATTTTTCATATTTAAAAGACAATGTATATTACAAACTGAAATCAAACGGAGCATCAATAAAAACTAAATGACATCGGAGAATAGTTTCAGTTTAGTTGAGATTTTACCACAATATCCACCTAATATTCAATTGATGAACCGGACTTATAATTCTCGCAATAAGCATAAAAATGGTGTACTGAACGCATTCCAATATTACATGTTATGGCATACACCTTCTCAGAATCTTATATAATTTCTTTTAAATATCGAAGCAGCTAAATTAGGAGGAATGGACTAAATGTTTTTTTTCTTATTACTATCAAAGTGAGCAATAATTTATTTTCTTTGATTCATCTTGAGTTATCTATGGTTGAATAACTACAGAAAAAGAACTAATCTTTTTACTTTTACTGATTAACATTACATAAGTAAACTGTAGTTTTAAAGAATTCTGATGAGTAGCTATGGATTAGTAAATTATAACAAATTACATCATTAAAATGGTCAAAAATAATTAATCTCTTATACCAGAATTAGAGTCATCTATTAGGAAAAAAGTTGAATTATTTAAATTCTAATCTCGTTACTGATGAGTTTTCCAATTCATAGTTCAATTATGACATCTGCGATAAGCATGAATTGACTATCCTCATCATGAATGAGGCAGAAAAAAAGAACATTGTTACACAATAAATACAACCATTGTGGCTATTTGGTTGTTCAGAGAATGTAAAAGTATCTACATAATCTGTTTCAATAACGTAACAGATTATTTGGAAATCTATTATACTTTTATTTAAATAATTACGTCACACGAAATCAAGAATTACTTAATGTCATACATCTTGATGTAAACCCTATTCTATATAGTGTCCATTTAATCTTCTGCTCTTCATTAACTGAAATCTAAATGAAATTCTATTGCCATTCAAATTTAACAAGTCATCTGTTAAAAGAAATGATGTAATATCACTTTATATTGTATGTAATGTTGAATAGTTAATAGAAATTGATAAGAAAGTTCTGAATACAGGTATATTAATATCTAGTAAATCTCACATCACATCAGTGATTTAAGTATCTCTATAATACAAGACATTACTATCCAATTCAAGCAGTGCTTAGTAACTTAATGGACTGTTATTCAATAAATCATTAAGTATGAAGTAGATGTATAAAATTTTCAGCATCCAAACTATTGTGACATTAACATGTTCATATAAGTCATGTATAGTCTAATTATTAAACTTATTCAGTACTCCAAATTTAAGCCTTTAACGAATTGGTTTTAGTTTAATTTCATAGAACGTATACAATTAAAAATGTAGTTAACTAGCTACTTCAATAAACATTAGTTTATTTCTTCATTTGTTAGTTCAAATCTAACTTAGTAGACAAAATTAACCACAATAACAAAGTGATAATCACCAATAGTTTAACAGTATTTTTCGTTTTTTTTATCTTTGAACAAAGTTAGCTATTGTAATGTATTCAAATAATAGACTAATATGATTCAACTGTATTACAATTATACAACACTTGGATGGTAAAAATTTCAATTTTATAATTAGTCAATGATCTTTTCTTAAATATATAAATCATGTTTTTTTTATTGAATGTTACACTTCTAATACTAAAGAGTAAAACTGTATTATTATCTAGGAATAATATATTTGTAAAATCTCAACGAATGAATTTGAAGTAAATCCGACGTTTCGCCTGGCAATCTGGTTCAAGCTTTTTCAAGGAATTATAATCAAAAGGTACACGGTACCTATTTATATTCGATAATTTTGATGTTTGATTATAATTCCTTGAAAAAAGCTTGGACCAGATTGCCACGCGAAACGTTGGATTTAGCTTCGAATTCATTCGCTGAGATTTTACAAATATATTATTCCTATTTAATGTCTTATATCAACTCGGAGCTCAAATACTGTGAAACTATTCTCTCTAATTTAGACGAAAGTTCTTATGTATTATTATCTATTCATGAATGTGATCACGTTTATCCAAACAGAAAAACATTAAAACGCCATGCACTTAATAATATCGATACAATAATGACTTGAAGGAGATAGAAGTAAACTTTCCTCGCAGAAAATTTGCAGTTTATGGATTAACAGAAGACCTTAAGTCCTAGTTTATAGATTACGTCACAAAGATTACTAAAGAAAGATCAAACAAGAAACATATTATCTCTTCACCGAAACTTTATACTTTTTTTTCTTTTTACAATTTTGTATCCTTCTTTTATTTTAGTTATCTGACCGACTTTTATCATTTGGTAGTAAAATGAACCAAATGAAATGATGATGATGATGATAATAATATTTAATTAGATTATTCTTAATTATTGAATTAGGCAAAAAGATTATCTGTACAGTCAGTTATTTCATAACTGTAACAGTTTTCATTTTCCCTCAAATTTATCTAAGTGAGAATTATAAGTAAAAAATTTAAGTTAACTTTATTATAAAGAGAGGTAATAGAGTAGCATTCATTCCTTTTATCATCGATTTATCATATTACGTAGGTAAGTAAAAAGGTGAACAACAAATACAATTAAAGATATACATATATGTATAATATAACCATTTAAATAAGTATCATAGTTCAATTGAAGTAAAAAATTTTTATTTAAATGTTATTAACATATGTGTACAGTTTGAGTAGTAGTAGTAGCAGTAGTAGTATACATGTATTATTTATAAAATAAATAAGAATGGAGGAGGAGGAGGAGCAGGATGGTGTATTCTTGTCTTTCGATCAGTATCATCATTTTATATGATATATATATATATCATATTTCAAGAACTGAATCTCGAGGGACAATAAAGAATATTGAATAAATAACGTTTTCATCATATTACAATATAAAAATGTAAGTTTTTTGGGTGGGGAGAGAACACAAACAAGAAACACAATGATAACACTAATTTTCATCTAATTTTTTATCTTATAAATTAATGTTCTCTTGATACAAATGGAAAAGGTATGATGTATGTTGATCAGTGAGAAAAGGCGAGAAAATAGTTTTTTTTTTGAAAAACTATAAAAATATATTCACGTTATTTGGTCCCTTAAGACCAAAAGAAAATGTGAAATATTTTTAAAAATTCTTTTCCCTCCTTAATTGGTTCGGTGAATTTAAGCGAATAAAGAACTATTGTAAATGAGATGAATATATAACAATTTAATATTTTTTTCGTTTAGGATAAACATGAATAATAATAATAATAATAATAATGAAAAGAAGCTATAAAACAGTATATGGATACATATATCATTATGTTTAAGTCAACTTATCCACACACACACACACAACATATATATATATATATATACTGTGTGTGCCAATAAGTCGACTTAAACAAAATGAAAGTGACAAACTCGTAAGCTTAAATATATGCGTAAATTCTTCTGAAACATTTCACTAACTATTAGTATGAAGCAAATGATCTTTTTTTCAATGAACCACATGCCTTTGAGTATTAGTAGTAGTAGTAGTAGTGGTAGTCTTAGTAGTAATGTTAATAATATTATTTTCTAGCATAAGAAAAACGTTACCTAATCAACTAGTTTCTTTAATAGTTATTCATTATCTCAACTATTAAAATATTATAATATTCATAAAACCCCTTCTGATAATTAATGTTATTATTCACTATGGATACTGAAAATTATTAATACTTGTCAATGAAATTAAAATATCAATCATTTGATTTAATTACAATCATCATAACAGAAGGAAATTTGTAACACTCGAAATATTACTATTTAACTAAAGAAGTTCTAAATAATATTGAAATTATGTGAGACTACTTTGTGAAAATACAAAGAATAATTGAAATATTCAAATATGAATGATGTAAATAAACAATCATTAGTATAATTATACGGTCTATTGGTCTATTTAACTGAGTGAATAGTAAAAGTACAAATAGATTATTATAATTCATACCTTAAAGAATAATTGTACTTTATACACCATTGTACATTTAAATCATTTTTTAAAATTGACCCTATTAGTAGAAGTAATCATATAAATTACAATAAAGGAATGTTCCTTTTTTCATATATCTGTATTTGTCAGACAGGGGTTTTGTGTAGATCTTATTAATTTTGTATAGTTGAGATTATGAGTCAATTGAAGCCAAACCACCATGGAAAACCTGGAAACACTGGGCGGTCGTTTCGTTCTATTGTGGGACTCCTCATCAGTGCGCATCCACGATCCCGCCTTACGAGATTCGAACCCAGGAACTGTTGGCCTCGCGCGCGATCGCTTAACCGATAGATTTGTTTAATTATCATAGGAATTTTCCAATTAGGAATAAAAAGAACTATCTATTTTGCTATTATCATTAAAACTCACAAAATAACTAACAAAAAGAATAACAGAGACAATAAAGTTTCTAACATTCTCCCCCTCTCCTCGACAAAATGATCTAATACCTTCTATCAATGTT